TAGTTCACTTCTTCGAATCCGGGAGGCGGACAAAATCCAGTATCATGTTCGCCTTTACAAAGCTCGCAACAAGCTATTTGTTTAGCTTTTGACGGTTCTTTTAGCTCCTTGATTTGTTGAGTTAAAAGTTCCACTTGTTGTGAGATGAGCTTGTTTTGCGCAAGTATAGCATCATTTGTTCCTAACTCAAGCACACCCGACTTTCTTTGAGCTACCCCTCAGTTGTGGTTCCCTTGGTGATCATTAAGTGTCATTTTATCAATGATCGCAGTTGCATCTTCGGCGCTTTTTGACATTAAAGAACCTCCCGCCGTAGCATCCAATAAGGTCTTATGAACCGAAAGGAGTCCATTGCGGAAAATATGAATTTGAGTGAGCTCATCGAAACCATGTCCCTTGCATTTTCTCAACATAGATTTGTAACGCTCCCAAGCTTCATTGAGTGATTCACTAGCTCCTTGAGAAAATACCGCAATTGCAGTTTTAGCCTCCATGAACCGGTTATGTGGAAAGAACCGTTCAAGAAACTTTTCTTCTAAAAGATTCCAATCGGTCATGACTGTTGTCGATTGGTCAAGATACCACTCCTTCGCTTTCCCAATTAAGGAATGAGGGAATAGTCTCCTAAACAATGACTCTTCGTCAGCTTCGGTAGCTCCAGTTGCGCCCGCAATCTCATAAAATTTTGTAAGATGAGTAAACGGATCCTCATGGTCTAATCCCGTGAAAGGATTTTGATAGACAAGAGCTAGGATTCCCGTTTTCATCTCCGATTGTCTTCCATTTTGGAGATTACGTGCAAACTGAGCTGTATGTCTGGGACTGTTTGTGCATGGAGTAGAAACTGGTGGAGGGGGTGGTGGTTCTGCCATGATTGGTGTGAAATGTGGTGGTGATGTGGTAGTCGAAGAACTTTCTCCTTGATTTTGTCTTTGCCTGGCTTGTTGCCTCCTGCGTCTTGCTCTACTGTTCAGTCTCCTTGCGGTTCTTTCGATCTCAGGATCAAAAAGAATTTGGTCCTCAGGAATCTGTCCTCGCATAAACAAGGGTTGCACACTAACCAAACAAATTACAAGCACAAGTAAAAATTTCAAAACTAAAAATTCGGCAACTATTGCGATGCTAGCAATATCAATTTATATTCCCCAGCAACGGCGCCATTTTGTTAGAACAGTGGTTAAGTGTCGGTTTTGATTATCGTCTCCACAGGGAATATAAGATTTTGCCGCCGTTCAACATTTGTTAAATTTATAGTTTAATGGTATCCAAGGGTTTGTGTTTAAGGTAACAAGTGTTTTGCATGAAAGGAATAAATGCGATAAAAGTTAGGTTTTAACTGTTTGAATAAAGATTGTCAAAGTTAGGTTTCGGTAATCACTTTGCATGTATACTTCTGATCAACATTTAATAAACTCTTTCAAATGATCAATGCATTCACAATATCCTCTCAATATGATTATCTCTAACTCATATTGTGAAGTTTATCATTTTAATCCATTGTTGATCTCTCACACAATCTATCAAAATGACAACTTTAAAGTTCAACATTTTAAGTGAACAAAATCATCCAAGACTATTTCTAACTCAAGAAAAGAGATGGGTGAAAACCTAGGTCAAGAGTTGGTAAATATTTCTCAATCATTAACCAACACAAAAGATTATGAATAAAACAAAGTTTTCACCATACATTAATCATTCAATAGTTTACAAATGAAAATCATCCATACAAATACAAAGTTCAATGATTACCTACATCTATCTTTGACAACAAGATGAACTTAGCTACCCATTCTCATGGTAGCTTGCAAAAGAAGTTTTAAAGTCGGTTGATGAACATCCAAGTCGAATGATCCAACTTTGATGATGATCCACCTTGTTGTTGTTTGATTATGTTAAGAGATGAAGAAAAATAAGCCAAAATAGGTTTTTAGGTCACAAAACCCTTTCTTACAACAAAACAATGTAAAAGTGAAAAAAGAAGATATTCTCCAAAAAGTGGCCCAAGCTACTTATAGTAAGTGACAGTTCTGGGCACGCTCGCTACTCACTCGCTAGGCGAGCTGCTGGCGAACGCTCGCTACAGCCTCGCCTAGCGAACCTGCCAGCGAGGTCTGCAAGTTTCATTCTGTTTTGCTTCGCTAGGTGCTCGCTGCAGCGAATGAGCCAGCGAAGGGTGCCTGGGACATTCTGTTTTGCTTTGCTAGGTGCTCGCTGGGGGTTCGCCTAGCGAGCCTCTTCGCCACTTGCTCGCTGACCAAGATTGATGTTGAAAATCATTCTGCCCAAGTCTGGAGCTGTTCGCTACGTGCTCGCTAGGCGAGGCTGTAGCGAACACTCGCTACTCACTCGCCAAGTGCTCGCTTGAGCGAACCAACTTTTGTTTTGCTCTTTGCTTGATTCCTTTGTCATCTTTCTTGTGCCTTCAAATAATGCTCTTTCACACTTAAATCCTGCACAATAACACACAAATCAAAAGGACCAAAAGAATTTGACACAATGATGCACATTAACAAAAGCAAGGCTTAATAAATACGTTTTCGGCATAAAAAGAAGTGAAAGATGTCCATATTTGATAGCTCCAATAAGCACAATTGGGCATCTAACAGGAAGCCGATGAATAGAAGTGAGTGATCAAATTTTTAGCTTGAAAAAAAAAGAAGAAGAAAAGAAATAGAATATACCTTAACGGATGTAGAGCCTTCAAAAAAAAAAGTTGAAAAAAAAATTACTCGTTGTTAGTTGGTTTAGCGGTTTCTGGTCCTGAACTTGGTAGGGCAGATTACTGTCCAATCCCCCGCAACTACAACTAAGTGAGCAAAGGGTTATGCCACGTAAGTACTAGAACCCAAAACAAAAAGGATCAGAGTCACTAACCGGTCGCCTTGATATGAGTGTGTGGAGATAACGGGCTTAATGTGATTGCGCCTGAATGAAAAAGAGCAAAAAGGAGGAAGAGTAAGTTAGGCTTTAACATAATAACATGATTTGAGTTGATTTCTGTATCCAGGAGGCTTATGTCTGCAAAATTGTGGATTAGTGTTCCTACGATATCCTTAGTGTTTAAGATTAGTACCTATCGATGCAAACTTAGGCGAAAAAGACTTGTAGCCTGGAATGAGTAACTATTGATGTGTGTGTGCTTCCCTTGTTTTGTTTTAATTTTGCTCGGAGTACAAAAGTTCAAGTCCGGGGGAATTTGATCAGTACATATTTATGCACATTCTCCTACATTTTTACTTAGACATTTCTTTATTTTATTTTGTTTATTATTATATTTTATTATGTTTTCATATTTTATTTTATTTTTGGTTTAATTTAATTTTCGCACTTATTTTTCAGTTTTAGCAGTCTGCACGGAAACGATCATAACTAGAGTTCCGAGAATCCGTTTGAGGCGTTCTAAAAATCGCCGGAAAGCTAAGAGAGAGAGCTACGACTTTGTGTTGGAGTCAAAGTCAGACTCGGAGCTCAAAATTCCAGAATTTCATTTCAAGTTACAGCATTAGAATTCTGTTTTAGTTTTGATCTTATTTTGGGCCTGGGTTATGTTTTGACCCAGTTGGGTTATGAACTGAATTCATTGTTTTATTTTGAGGGGAAACCTCATTTACCGTATCCTATTGACTATTCACAAAAATATTGGTTGGAGCTTTGTATGAATTATGGAGAACTAATTCCTTCGAATTAATCTGCTGTAATCGGTTCCCGCCAACACTTTGAGGTTCTTTTAATTTCCAATAAAATTTATTTCCTTTCAATTCTTCTCTATGATATTTTGTTTGCTTAATTCGATTTATCTTAGGGATGATTGATTTATTTCGATGATTGCATGTTCTTATACTTAAATCGCAGTTGCTTAATCCGTGTATGTTTCTCGTGTTTGCTTAATTCACGGTTACTATTTTATCTGTTTGCTTAATTCAGAAATTAGGAACGTGTATCGTATAATATCAATTGCACTTGTTGATTGTTATTATAATCGGAAAGGGGATAGAATCCGCTTAGGAATTGGGAATTATTAGGATCGATGATAAGTTGGGAAACGAAAATAGTAGATTAGCCGTTTCAACTAATTACTACAATCACTTTTTCTAATCACTTATTTTTCGTTTATTTCATCTTAATCAAAACCCCCCATATTTCGTTACTGTATTTGATTATTCCTACAAGAATCCTTGTGAGACGATATTCCGAGTCACTGTCGCTGTACTGCATTTTCCTAAAATTACTCGTTTTTGATCCGCGAGCGACCGCAGATCAATAATAACGGTTATCTAGTTTACAAAAGAAGCTCCAAAACACATACTATTGTTAAAAGTGGAATCTCCTTACACAATAGGCATTTCGTACCATACAACACAAGGTTTCTTTTAAAATATGAAGCTCGCATCAATATGGAATGGTGTAACCAAAGCATTTCTATCAAGTACCTTTTCAAATATATCCATAAAGGATATGATAGGATCATTGCATCTGTTGTTCCTACTGTGAATTCATCTTTAAAAAATTAAGACGGAATTGACGAAATCAAGGAATACCTCGACTGTAGGTATGTATCCCTCATTGAGGCATGTTGGAGGATTTTTTTCACACAAAATTCATGGAAGAAAACTTGTCGTAGAACATATGTTTTACCATCTCATAGGTAAGAAGGTTATCTACTATACTGATTTCGAAAGGATGGAAAGTATATTGGAAAAGGCAAGTGTAACAAAACCTATGTTCAATTCAATGTTGATTGAAAATGGACAATTTGATGAAGTTAAGCATTTAACACATGGACAATTTGTAACCAAGTTTGTATATGATAAAGGAAAAGATCTTGGAAGCAACGCAAGAAAGGTTTCACTATAGGCCAGTTGATTTGGGTTCCGCTGGCAACCAAAGAACTATTTTATCTACGAATGATGCTAACTGTTATAAAATGAAGACGAACTTATAAAGACATTCGTACGGTCGGGGACATACAATATGACTCTTTCAGGGAAGCATGCTTTGCCATGGGTTTTCTTAAGGATGATATGGAATACATTGGAGCAATTAAAGATGCAAGTCAGTGGGGGTCTGGACACTTTCTTAGACAATTGGTTGTCATTATGCTGTTGTCTGGAATAATAAACAGAGCCGCCCATGTGTGGAGTAAGACTTGGAACTTTTTGGTTAATGGTATTTTGTATAAACAGAGACATGTTGCAGAAAATTCAGGTCTATATTTTTAGCGTTTTCCTGTTTCAAAACCCTTTACATTCATATCTACTTCCAACTCTAGTTTTTTAACCCATTCAAATGAACTTTTCAACCTCTTCGTTATTGAATGCAGATTTGCAATTGACAGATGCTAATTTACAAAATTTAACATTGATTGAGATATAAATATTACTTTAGGAAAACCAGAGGATTCTTGTAGATTTCGAACCAATTCCTTATCCTAATGGTTATGTTCTTCAACAACTCAGAAACAGACTTATCTATGAAGAGAGAAGTTACAATGTCGCCAACATGAAAACTGAATTTCGTTCTCTATTCAATGCACTTATAGGTTATTACATCTATAATAATACATCTCCATTTTAGATTTCTCTCTTAAACTTTAAATGTTAATGGTTGTATGTTTCTCTTTTCCAAATGAGCAGAGTAACATATATGACAAGATCATGTTTGCGGTTACCAATAAAAAAGGCAGAGTGTTTTTTCTGCATGGTTATGGCAGCCCCGATAAAATTTATACGTGGAGAACACTTGCAACCTCATTGAGAGCGGAACATAAAATTGTTTTAATTGTGGCATCAAGTGGAATTGCATCTCTGTTATTACCTGGCGGTAGGACCGCTCATTCTAAGTTTAAAATTCATGTGCCAACCTTGGAAAATTCAACTTGCAAAGTTGACTTCAGTGATGACCACACCGAACTACTTCGCCAAACCAAGTTGATTATTTGGGATGAGGCACCAATGGCTAGCAAATTCTGTTTTGAAGCACTTGATAAAACATTGAGGGATATCATGAGTAATTATAGTAATTCCGATCAAGTTTTCAGAGTACAAGTTGTGGTTTTTGGTGGAGATTTTTGACAGATTTTACATATTATCCCAAGAGGAAGTAGATCTGATATAGTTCACTCTGCCATCAATGCATCTTACATTTGATAATTTTGTAAAGTTTTGACATTAACACGAAACATGCAGCTGCAAGGAGGTCAAAGTAATCAAGAAACATATGATATTGCTGAATTTTCCAAATGGCTTTTAAAATTAGGAGAAGGTCGGCTATCCGAACCTAATGACAGTTATGTTGATATTAAAATTCCTCCTGAAATCTTAATTATGGATTTTGATTACCTTATTATTGCATTATGGACAACACATATCCTTCTTTCATGGATAATTATAAATGTTATGACTACTTTAAAATTTGCACAATTAGAGCATCAACGATTGAAGTTATTGATCAAATAAATAAGCATATTCTTGAAATGATGCCAGGTATATTTTTCATAACATTTTCCTCCTTTCATTATTCTATTTTAGAAGCTTAATCATTTCTTATCTATTTGTTACTCATTCATTCATGCCATTTCTTATTATAGGAGATACCAAAGATTACTATAGCTCAAATTTAGTTGATAGATATGAAATTCATGATAACACCATTATTGAAGTCCTTAGTCCTAAATCCCTCAACTTTCTAAGGCTATGTTTGGATAATTTAAAAATAACGGAGCGGAGCGGAACGGAACGGAATATAAACTCCATTCCATTGTTTGGATATTTTACAACGGAGCAGAACTAATATCTCATTCCACTGTTTGGGAATTGGACGGAGCGGAAAGCATTATAACTTTTTTATTTCATTTTTACCATTTGCTACAATATTGATAGATCCAACATTCTCGCACTAAAATAATATATAAGTAATCATAGAAAAATATCAACTTAACACTTGAAAGAAATTAAAACATACAGTAATAAATTAAAATGTTCATAAATGAAACATGGTTATTATAACTTGAAATTGCAAAGACCAAGTGCACAAGTTTTGATCAACACCATACTGGGTATTCATAGTAATTCATAAACAAAATCAAGTTTTGCTAAAATTAAATGATAAATATATGTCTATAGTAGATAATGATATCAAGTCTTGCTAATAAAAAAGACAAATATTGATCCATAATAGATAATGACTCTCTTCTTTAAGCATTCCACAAAACCTGCAAAAATAAAATAAAATAAATTACGCAAATATTTCATTCATTAAAGATAAAAAAAAAATACTCAAAAGTGATAAATAAATATGTTACCATTATCAAAAGGGATAGTCTGGAACAATGAGATGTAACATTTCCTTCTGCGTATCCATTGGAATTCCATTAAAAGCTTTTAATGCATCGGCATTCTTAACAAGGTATATGTATACAAGAGGTAAAGAACTTGGTTCAACCCCAATCTCGACCAATTCAGCCCAATATCTCCACCATTAGCATTTTTACTCTGTTTGACCAGCTCCATGGAATTCATTTCAAACACATCAACCATTTTTTTGAAAGTTTTGGAAATCTCAATCATGCTTGTATCATCTTCAATAACCTTCTTTACTCACTTCTTAGTCCTAAATGATGATACATCTTGAGAATTGGTATCCATAGCACTTGTTGTCATACTATTACCATTTTTATTTCCAAATGTTTGTTGTTGCAAATATGCATCAAGCAAAACTTCATCCATAGCAGTTGTCCAATTGCATGTTTCTAGATTTTTGAGTTTCCTCGGCCTCTTTAAACTTGCTTCCATGTCTATTATTAAAAAACACAATGAAGAATATAATAACTTATGCACAAATTCAAATGTAAAGGTTCATCATACACTAAAATTTATTCCACAAATTACAAATAAAAAAATTCAATCCAAATAAAATTCTTCAAAACATTATTCTTGAGAGTAACAAATCATTAAGAATAATTTTAATAATCTAGCCACATAGAACCAGCAACATTATCTCTAATTGGCTCTCCGCTAATCATATCATCGTTTTTTTCTCTTTGATCTTGATGACCCTCTTGAACATCTCTTTCATTTGCAAGTTCATCTTGCACCTCATCAATTAGAGTTTGATTGGGGTCTTCACCCATCAAATAGTTGTGTAAAATGCAACAAGCAAGGATGATTTTATTTTGAGTTTTAATACCAAATGCAGGCTATGTTGCAGTTTGTAAAATTGGAAATCTTTTTTTCAAAACTCCAAATGCACATTCAATAGACATTCGTAATGACGAATGTCGATGGTTGAATAACTCACGAGGATTTCGAGGTAGATTTCTAGAGTATTCTTGTAAGTGGTATCGTTCTCCTCTATACGGTGTAATGAGACATGCTTTTAAAGGAAATCCCGCATCACCCAGATTATATTTTCCTAAAAAAAATAATGAGTCCATTAGTTTAGCTAATCTAAATACTTATACAAATATTTTTTATTACTTTTTATTACCTTGTGGAACTTTAAGAGGGTGTGCACGTGCCAACGCACTCTTAACTATTCTTGAGTCAGAAGCAGTTCCTTCCCATCCAACCAAGACATATGTAAATTTTAAGTCAAATGAGTACGCAACTAACACATTTTGTGTGGGATAATCTTTTCTACCACGGTATCTAGGTGCGAGTTCTATTGGAACTTTAAGACGCACATGCGTGCAATCAATTGCTTCAATACAGTCCTGACATTAAATTTATATATTAAAAGTGTACAAGAAAACTAATCAATATTTGTATAAGACAAAAAATTTGTTTACCTTAAAATACGGGTAGAATCTATGGTTGTTAAGTATCTGCGGAGGCACTTGTGTTCTATCAGGTTATTTTAAAAAAATTCCCTCCACCTCTATCAAAGCATCTAGAACTCTATGAAAATGACGACTAACAGTTTCACCGGAGCGTCTAAAAAAGAAGGACATCACACGGTTTCTAACATTATGTTCTACTATATAAAGAAATTTTGCTACTTGTTCTTCGATAGACGCTCTTCGTGTATGTGTAAGTCCACTTTGATCTTGTAATAAGGTGCACAAGTTTAAGAAAGTTTTGGGACCCATACGAATGATATCATAACATCACAGACTTCCTAAAATATGTTTCATCAACTCATTTCTAACTTTCTCTCTTTGCTCTGTGATTCTATAAGGTATTTGGGATCTTCTACGCTTGTTTTTTAGCGAACATATTAGAACAATAATGATAGATACTTGAAGAATCATCATTTGAACCAATTTTATATACTTGATTCTTATGTCTTCGTTAGTCATCTATAACAAATTAAACAGTAAAATTTACTCTAATTATAAATTCATATACAAATAAATCAGATTAAAATATTTATAACAAATAAAATAAATCATATCAAAATCAGAACAAATAGATTAAGAATTTTTAAAACAAATCAAATATATAATTTCAATCCCAAATTAATTAAGAATCTTTGTAGCAAATCAAAACATATGTTACTAATAACTATTTTCCTATTATACTACATAATATTATTAGCCAATTTTATGTTACAGTAACTAACTTTAGTTTTTCTTTATACATATAAAGAATACAATCAACGTGAATAATAGTGAAAAATAACGGGAACAATAGTTTTGCAACAAATCTAATTTCTACTTTTGTTCTTAATAAAAAGTTAATTTAACATACAAAACACTATAAAGCAACATAAATCATAATTTTAGATTTTGTTTTTAGTAACTATACCTAATTTCTGAAAAATGAAAAAGACATGAACATGAAGATAAATCAAGATATTTAATTTAATAGAGCACACATATAAATACAGATAAAAAAATGAGAAGAATTATGATGTACCTTGTTAGGGTAGAAGAAAGATAGACTCTTTGCAAGCAAGAAGAAGGTTTGTGAAAGAGAAAAGTTGCAGTGAATGAATAGAAAAATATCACATTGATTGAAATAAGGAATAAAAACGGTTAATAATAAAAGTGGAAATTTGGAGGATAAAATTGTAATTGTTTTATTAATTGATTTCATTCCATTGGATACACCCCAATTTAGGGGAATGAAAAATGAGCCAAAATAGTGGTATTGGATGGAATATGTTCCATCATACTCCATTCCGTTCCAGTCAATTTTTGTAAATCCAAACAATGGAACATAACTCCACTCTACTCCATTCCATTCCATCCCTTTCCATCAATCCAAACAAACCCTAAGGACTTTTGGGTTGCCCAACCACCATATTAGATTAAAGATAAGGACCACTATAATGCTTATGAGAAATATTGATCAATTTGAAGGTTTGTGCAATGGGACTAGGCTTATTGTTACAAAAATGACTAATCATGTTCTTGAAGCAGAAATTATGGGAGGCAAGGGACATGGAAAAGTCATTTACATACTAAGAATGAATATGTCTCCATCCCAATTAACTTGGCCTTTCAAACTAAACAGGATACAATTTCCTATCGTTGTTTCGTATGCGATAAAGATTAATAAATCTCAGAGACAATCTTTGAATTATGTTGGATTGTATATCCCAAAAAATATTTTCAGTCATGGATAACTAGATATCGCAATTTCAATGGTAACAAGCCAAAAAGGGGATCAAAATCTTGATACACGACGAAAACAACAGACCAAAATTTTCTACTTCTAACATTGTCTACAAGGAGGTATTCAATAACGTATAGCTGGTAATTATCTCTACTTTTTCACATTCTTACGGATTCTGGATTCTCATATACTTTCACATTCTAACTTAAATTTTCCTAATTTCTTCTTATTAGTGTACTATAAAGTTGCTTCATTATAGTACCTGAATATGTCTTACGTGAATTAATAAACATATAAATATTGCTTTCTGACTTTGTAAACATATATACCTCTACATTATTGAAGTCCTTAGGTCAATTTAGTCTTTTGATTTTATGATTCAGTGGTGTTATATGTACACTATTTTTGTACACTCATTTACCATTTTTTGTTTGCTTTTGCAGGATACATTTTCGTGTCACTGCAAAGTTCCTTACCTGCTTCTTTTGTGTTATGATCGCCTACTTTAAATGCATCATATGGTTATGTAAAATTTTTATCCAATACTCTTTTTGTTAAACTTATGCTGACTCTCATTTTGTTTTTATATTGAAGTACCAATTGGCATTACTCTATCCGTTGCACAATGTTTGAGATTCCAACGCAACTTTTCAACCATTTTGGTTTGTTCATTTTTTGTGTAATTTTTTTAATCTAATCAATGCAAATATCTAAAAAGGTTGTTAACTTATACAACTATAACATATATATATATATATATATATATATATATATATATATATATATATATATATATATATATATATATATATATATATATATATATATATATATATATATATATATATATATATATATATATATATATATATATATATATATATATATATATATATATATATATATATATATATATATATATATATATATATATATATATATATATATATATATATATATATATATATATATATATATATATATATATATATATATATATATATATATATATATATATATATATATATATATATATATATATATATATATATATATATATATATATATATATATATATATATATATATATATATATATACTAATCAAACTTTTTCTAATAATTCAAACGTTGTTTATTTTGTTCTACATGTTCCTCAATTACTTTTTCATTTCTAAATCTATTTCAAACCATGTTCATGGATTACATAACTAATACTTTTTGTCATATGGATTATAATAACTCTTAATCAATACCATATATATTTACCATTCATACACTTTACACATAACATATTAATTTAACATTAAACCCAACAAGTTAGAATACTTCAGCACAACACATTTCAACTATTTCAAATTGTTCAACAACAAAATAACTTCACTTCATCAAAATAAGAAAACCATCATCCAGACAACTAAACTACTAATATCATATGGTTGCACATTACACTAAATACTACATCTTTAACAACTAAACACAACAGCCACATTTTTAGAACAACCTAACACCCATCTCCCAAAACCTCATTCAACCACACCACACTCATCTATTTAATAGGTGAAACATAAACCTGATCTAGAGGATAACCTATGGTGAACCCAAGCTTATCACCCCTCTTTAGTTTCTTATTCTTAGCATAATCGTACCACCCTTTACCGATGAACTTCTCCTTGCGTACAATCTTTTTATTACGTCTTGCACTATGAACCTTTGCACCATAGGTTTTTCTTGTGTCAGAATCAATCAACTCATTTGACCTTTGGTTCCAATATCAGCATTTCTTCGTCATTTCTCTGGGAAAATGTTGTTAAATACAACAAACAACATAAAATTATTACAATTATTTTAAATTCTTATTCAAACCAGATTTCAGTTTTTATCGTACATACCATGAAACTTTTGCGGGTTTTGTATCCATAACTTATCACTCTTTTCCAGTAGAAATCATCCTCATCCGACTCCTCATTTGACTCCTCATCCGACTCTTCATCTTCATCAGAAGAAGAACCACTGCTATGCATGTTCAACATATGATCCTTAACATATGTGGTAAGTTTTTCATGAATTCCCTTGGTTTTTTCATCAACAACTCCAGTTGCAATATCAACCCTACAGTTACAACATTCAAATAATTCAAGTTTATAACACTACTACTAACATTTCCATTTTCATATTATCTGTAATTATAACCATTCCTATTTCATGCATATCCTATAACCATTACTTCATTATATTATAAGTACATATTTATGTCTGGAATTAGATAAACCATCATAGAGCTTGCACATTACTCATTCACAATTACAAAAACATATGTAGGTTTACTTATATTCAACCTTCTTACCATCAACGGAACAATGTCGTACAAAGTCTTCTATTTTTCTATTTCTTTTTCACAAATTTATTTATACTTTCTGTCTTACAAAAGTATTGTCTTTAAACTACCACATCTCTTATTAAGCCATCTATTTTGACAATTAGATCTATCATATCAATGGTTTTAACTTTGATTTCAGAAATAGCTCATTGCATGCATTATTTAAAACACAAAGAAAATGGTTTACCTTCCTT